AAAAGGCACTCCTATGAGAGTGATAAATATAGTGCGAGTTGCCCCCCCATCCAAATCACATTCTCTCAACCTGCCAGATCCAATGTATCTGACTGAAAGGTGTGCAATTTCTAATGCTGAGTAAATGAAGTCAATAAATCTAACATTCTTTCTATCTTCCAATACAAAGCAGAAAGACCAACTAACAGTACCGGTACTGATATATGCACAAACACGTCTGGAACAGATAAAAGGAAACTGTTGGTGATATTCATAGTCATAGGGAAAGTCAGGTGGTTTTCTATGTGACCACTCCCGACTACCTGTCATCTATTGCAGCTCAGTATGGACGACTCAGACATTTTGAGAGACTTTACTTAAGTAATTCGCTGAACAATTACAAGCTCTTCAAGCCAAACTGAACTTGACTTATTATCAATTCTATGGGCTTAAATCTAGTAGTGTTAAGTTCTGACCACAGAAGTTTTTATTTGCGAATACACAGGCGCTCCTTTCTTGTGTCCGCAGACAATGAGCAAATAAACAAATCATTTGCTGAATCAAACTGCGGGCAGGCAGAAAATGATTGGTAAACTGCAAGGATTCATTTTATTCACTGCTTGAGACGCTGCTCGTTTGTGTTTTCATGAACAAGCAAGCGTCCTGAACTGGTGATGTTAATCTTTGCTGGCTCGTTCATGATGTCACAATACAGTCCCGTCTGTGCCTTTCATTCGATCTGCTAGGCCCAAGATGTAACGCTGATCACAAGAGAGTTTGGTGTATTGGGCACTGCTAGGACCTAAATATTATTTGAAACAAGCATTTTGTCTTGGAAGGTGTATACACCCCTCCACAACCCCAACCACCCTCCCCACCTACCCCACTTTCTCGCGCAATAATGTACGAGTGGTCCGGTATTCTTCAATCTTCCCCTTCCAAGATTTCAGAGGGACAGTAGGCCAGGGCTGCCTTTTATTTACAGTTTACAGTAATTTAGGCAGCCTACAGACTACAGTTTAACGGTAGTTTAACTTTTTTTAAATAAAAGACTGAAATTTAAGGCAGGAAAGAATATAACCCAAAACAAGTGGTCAAAAGATACCTTCACGTGCTGTATTTGCTCTTCCTTCATTACAGAAATGTGCACCGAGTGTGAACTGAAACACGAGAATCAAAGCCAGCCCAAAAGAAGAATCGTGTAAGAGAAAGGATTCCACTGAGTGGAAGCTTGTGTGTATTCAAACCGCATAATAATAACACAACCAAGGAAAGACAATTATATCTGTTTCATTTTTTACTGCTATTGACTACTGACTGACTACTGGTAGATTCTTTATCCGGAAGTCCAGATTTGGCAGCAAAGTTGTGCACCTGGCTAGTTTCACTTTCTCTTTCTCTTGGACTTGGACGGTCATTGCAGTTTAGATTTTTAGTGTGTGTTGTGACTTCGTTATTTAAGTACCATTCTGTCACTGTCACTTCTGCTGTTATGAAACGTTCGATAGAACTAGTTAGCGCCTGGACAATGCCATACGTTGGCTGTAAGTTTCTTATTATGGGCATTGATTGATATATATAGAAGAGATAGAATCTAGAATCTTACTTAATTTTAACGCAGTGGCTACGTTCACGGCGCAGTGAATGTAGTTGGCAGGCTACGTTCACGGCGCCCTGAATGCAGTTTGCAGGCTCTGTTGAGGCTACGTCAAGGAGATTAAAAGTACCTCAACAGCGCCTGCAAACTGCATTCAGGGCGCCGTAAACGTAGCCTGCCAACTACATTCACGGCGCCGTGAACCTAGCCTGCAGACTACGTTCACGGCACCGTGAACGTAGCCACTGCGTAATTTTAATGAATAAGCAATTAAGCAAGGCCTAATAATAATATAATCATATTCATTTATAGATCTAGACTCTAGTCAATAGTCTAGCCGTACTTAGATCTAGGTTTGGCCCTATCGACTCAAACCTGTTGAGTACACAGGTCTCATTAGATCTAGATCTAGATCTAGATCTATCTCGTAATTATTCAAGTTTAAAATACATGCAAGTCAGTAAGACTCCTTTTGGTTTTGTCTGAATACTATTTAGGCATTGCAAACAAACAAAATTCATTTTTACAATTCAGCCATCATTATTATGTACGGCTAGCCTCTTCCATGAAATAATATCCTATCCGACCTATCATTGTAAAATAAGTCATTGGCCTAAATAATAATATTGAATACAATTGAATGATAATATTAGCTGGTTGTTGTGCTGGCAATCTCCGCTTTTGCCACCAAGAGTAATGTAATGTCAATAGTAACTCTATTATCTATATTGGCTGGGGCATATTATAGGGTCAGGGGGTAGGGATAAGGATTGTAGGCTGTAGGATAGAAGTAAGGGTAGATCTAGCCTAATTATAATAAGCCATCGTTGAGGTCAAAACCGTGCCGTTACGTGTACAGTGGAATCCTGTTATAACGAGAGGGAGAGGACCGGAGCAAAATACAGTGGAAACCTGATATAACAGGGATGGTGGGAGTAGAGAAAATGTCCTGTTATATCCGATCCCTGTTAAAACAGAAATGCAAGGAAAGTAAGCATTTGTGGACTAATCCAGCTGTACCTATTCATGGGTAGTTTCCTTTGCCACAAGTACCCACAAACAGGTATTGGCACCAACTTTCTCCTTCCCTCCTCAAACCACATCAGAAGAGCTTGGTCCTCAGCATCTGCATCGGGTAGTCTCGTCTTCTTTCGATCCAGAGCAAACTTTCCATTGGAGTATGCTGCCACTATTTTCTCTCTATCCTTGATAATGGTGTGAATCGACCCTTGTGGAAGGTCGAACTGACGACAAATCTGCTAGTGGAGCTTGCTTCTTTTCAACAGCCTGGATTATTTCGTATTTTTTGTCAATTGAAAGGCATTTTCTCTTGCGCTTGAATTCGTTGGTGACACATTACGCTTGCGTGTTTCTAGGTTTCGGGCTAGATCGGGGTCTGAAGAGCACACCGCAGCCCTCTCTCGCTTCACATGCTGCATGTGCTTGCAATGGCATGGCTTGCGTGGGCTTGCACCACCACTGCGTTACTCTCTCTCTCTCTCTCTCTCTCTCTCTCTCTCTCTCTCTCTCTCTCTCTCTGTCTCTCTCTCTCTCTCTCTCTCTCTCTCTCTCTCTCTCTCTCTCTCTCTCTCTCTCTCTCTCTCTCTCTCCACATTGTTAACGAGCATTTGTCCCTGCTATAACCGGTTGGGCTCCGATGAGGCCTTGTTATTGCCGATAACTTTTAATAGAGACAAAGAGTAGGAAAAACGAGTATTTCAAAAATCCCTGTTATTACCGGATCCCTGTTATTACCGGGCCTGTTATATATGGTATCCACTGTATCCGTTATAGCAGGATTCTCACTATAAGGGATCCAGTAATAAATTCAAGAGAAACTGTAAAGTAGGCCTAATCTATGAGTTTGGTGTTCTGTTTATTTCCTTTTGCTATCTCTCCTGATGATGATTTTGTTTCAACATGACCTCTAGGTCTTACTTGATAAAAAATCGAATCAGGTTTCTTTCTCTAGCGCTAGATCTAGCAATGTTGACAGACAGCTCGGCGTTGGTGATCAGAAAGAAAGGGCTCTGGGCTAACTCACCCGCTGTGTTTTCCCCCACACTACCACACCCTGTGGTGCATTCCGTCAGCTTATGCACATCACACATTCACTCCATCCATCACATTTCTTTGACCTCTCCATCCCCACATCGGAGAAGTGAGAGGCCTGGTAGGCCTTGATAATCTAAACTAGGCTTACGCTGACCTATCACGCGATGCGTTCTGCTTGTCTGCGCATGTGATACCCTCCCTACTCAGTCGCTCTGGCCTTCGTTGTTGACACACATGGGCTCTCCTATTCTTTGTTTCGCTAGATCACCAACAAGTTTCTCAACTGGCGAGGTTTTATATTATGCATAATTGGCCCATGCACTGCGCACAGCATCAGCTATATTCCGCTATAACAGACTCGCGTGTTTGTCTGATTGCGCTATAGCAGTATTTTATTTACAAAGGTAAAGAAGAGAAAAAACCAGGGTTTTAGAATAGTGCCTTTATAATAGACTTCTCGTTTTTTCCGGACTCGTTATAAGTGGACTCTACTGTATATAAAATTATGCCTTATAAAATGCGAATGATATGTCAAGTTAATACATGCCATTCAATAGAGCCTTGCCACTGAAATAAAACTGATATCACAGGTCACAGTGTCACTTTAATGGTGCACTGGCACACTCATTATTATTACATTTTCTCTATTGAATTATGGTATCATACTGGATTGTGGACTGCAGATATATAGGTAATAAGAGGGCTCCGGTTTGAATCACTTTAATAATATTCCGAATTTCGGTTACTTTTGGGGGGTGTTAAGGCTCTCCATCCGTCTGGCTTGATTCTATCGGACATGATTGTTAAATTCAGAGGTCCTCATGTCTCTTAACCTTATAACACAGTGTTGAAAGAGATGTTAAACCAGCACAGGGGCAATGACGATCTACTCCACAGAACGTCATGTTTTGAGGTTGGCTTGCTACATGTATCATGTAAAAGCTGACAAAAATTGACTTAACTTTTGTCTTGAGTATCCTATAGGCGCCTACTGAAATGAAGTTGCTTTTTTCTTAGAGGCACATTATTAGATCAGCCAAAACACAGCATATAAAAAAATTGAGGGCCAATAAATTGACCTGTGATAGCTCCAGAATTTAAGCTGACTCATGGTACACCTACTGCAAACTAAATCATGGCAGGAAAGGAGCATTAATTTAAGTAAGTTTTTTTCTTGAATTGTGAGATATTTGTCTCCTGGTTACTCTGATTTTGGATAGGCTGAATATGATACTTTGAATGAGAGGATGAGGAGGCTCACTCAATATTTAAAAAATGGCTAATTTTCAAAGACTTTTGAAATATAAGCTATATTGATTATGTCCATGTTGACTGTTGTTTTATAAATTCCATTAAAAAAATGCATTCAAGCTTTACTAAAGCAACTCGTATAAAAAAAATAGTAGCATGCAAATAACGAAATCGACAGGATGCTGTATTCTTTTAATTAAATACGAACTTAGCTCTACTGTATGTAGTGTTTTGAATACAAAGAATATACACGAATAGGAAAAAATTCAGATCCAAAATATTATATGCGTGTTTAGCTATGTCTGTAATTTTGCATGCTTTTCTTGACAGTGGGAACCTTCAAGACACGCGGCTATGATCTCTTGTATACCACACTTGATGCTGCTCTTGCTGCTGGGTACAGATCTTTTGGTAAAGTAAACTGCCCTTGAGTTAAAAGATTCCTAGAAATTTTAATTAGACTCTTCCAAGATTTAATTTGTAGCACCGTGTGTTCAGTAACCTCACTGCAGTTGGTACTATGGTAGGTATGAACGAATTTCTATATTCTTTCTGTTCTTGCTTTTTTTATCATTTACTGCGGGTCGATAATTGAAATTCCGATGTCAGTGAGTGGCTATGGTCACTTAACATTATTTCTACCTTTTTAGAAATTTGCTTTGTGCAGATATTCAAGGCTACTTAGGTCTCTACCAATTGTTCTTGATGCCTTTCTGGTCAACTTGTTTATTTTCATGATGTGCTGTCTTCCCAAATTGCTACCATAGCAAGAGATACCAAAATTTATCAGTTTCTCTTGCAGTCATGTAGAATATCTGAAGGATGGATGGATTCAGATTGAAAGACCTAAGTTTCCTCAGAAAGTACAGCCTCTGATTTACCTTTTTAACGATATTGTTTACGTGATTTTGCCATGTAAATTTGTTGTCAATTGAAGACCAAGATATTTGTATGAATCTGTGATTTCAGATTTAAATTGTTTCTTGTTCAATTATGAGTGGTGGGATTGTTGGTTTTTCTCTTCTAAAATCAAAAATCATTTCCTTTGGTTTTTTTGAGAGGTTCACTTTCAGAATGTTTGAATTGCACCATTTATAAAAAATATGCTATTGACTGACATTGTGTGCTGAATAAAATACCCCAACAAGTAACCTGTATTGGTTTCTATGGAAAATGTTTGAATCACTGACCACATACATTTATACAACGTTGAAGATTTGCTTCAGGCATGATGAAAATATGAAGTTTTAAAGATTTCATCTCCACGATTGAAAATAAGAGGTCTGAACTGGTCTGTAATAGCAATCGGCCACTAGTCAGACACTCATGCACTTTGGAATACTGTACTGAGTACATCATTAATAGCTGCGTCATGGGCATTTGATGTTTCAGTTAGTTTGTAAGATCTTTTGTGATCAAAATATGATTTGGCAGACTTTCATATTTTATCGCTATGAAATTCAACTGTACAGTGGAGTCTGCTAAACCAAAATGGTTATCTGAAAACAGCAGTAAGCTGAAAGGAAATTGAATCCCTGATTTTATTCTTCACTATTTGATCAATTTCTCTAAAGTGAAAACATGGCTAAACTGAAGAAAATCCAATAGTTCTGCAAATTTCGGTTAAAGCAGACTCCATTGTATGTGCAACAACAACCTTGTTTTTTGGGTTTTTTTCTTTCAGTCTGTGTTTGTCTCAAACTGCATCCCTACCACTGAGTACCTAGATTGTCTCACTTTCCTGACTTTAATTTGACTTGTTCCTCACATTCTTGCCAGCTTTTGATTTTCTAATGAAAGAAGTATTGCTTCCTTTTTTTGTCTTTATGTAAACTAAATTGATCCAAGTCATATTTTATTCTGATTCTATTTTGTCATGTTTTGTCTGCTGTAATTCTAAGGCTGGATGTTAATGAAAAATACATGCAACATTATTGTTGAGCCCCTCTTTCTGTAAAAATTTCCTTTTATCTGCTTGACATTATGGAGACGAACACCCATCTCATTAGCATGATTGTTATTCTGCCTTTTCAGATACAGCATCTGTGTACAGAAATGAAACAGATATTGGGAAAGCATTAAAAGAACTGCTGCCTAAGTACAATTTGACAAGGAAGGATATATTTATTACAAGTAAATTAGGTAAATTTGTAGTTAATGCAACAAGTGTTTTCCTTTCTCAGTAAGAATAATAGTAATAGCTCATCCGTCAATGTCTGATGATGACCAATACATCCGCAGAGAAGAATTTAATATTTCTCCATTTCTCAGTACCATATTTAAGATACAATGAATAACAGGGCTTGATGTAAATCTGTTAGAAACATGTACAGCTTTAAAAATGATATGCTACCCATTAGTGTAATTCTAATTATAGCTGATCTTGGCTCTTTTCCATTTGCATGCCCCACTGCCCATACGCCATTGAAGTCATATATATATGTACATACATTAATATAGACATACATTTACACACCCAAGTGCACATGAAGGCTTTCACTGACACTTGCACTTATAGACATGGAATGCTCAAAAGTCAAATATATATAAGTTATGACGAATATTTGGGAAATGTGTGCTTTTTAAAGTTTTCCATAATGATAATGTCTGCCTTTTCAAAATGATTTGCGCAGTGTATGTCTATTCTTCCTGCTTCTCCCTATCCCCCCAGCCTTTCCCCCTAACCACACACACACACACACACACGCACACACATACACGCATGCTATATTCCTCAGCACAGCTTCATTCTTCAGTTGTTGTTTTGTTTTTCTTCACTTTGAAGGCCCAGCAGATCAAGGTGATGGCAAGGCTTCCTCAGCTTTCTCCAGATCATTGTCAAACCTTGACTGTGAATATCTTGACCTATACCTTATTCACTGGCCAGGAACTCACAAACTTCAACCTGGAGATGAGCAGCATAAAAAATTTCGCAGGGAGAGCTGGAAAGCTGTGGAAGAGGCTCATAGACAGGGTATGTGTTACTTGTCAAGACATGGACTTTGATGTTTTCTGAAGATTTGTCAATTGACAGATCCCATGGAATTTATTGTTTTCACATACTCATACTGAATTGCAGCTTTCTTTTTTAACCATTACTTGTCAAGGTTTCATTTACAACCTTATAATGGGATGCCTTGTATAGCTAGTCCAGTTTTTACTGTCAGACCCTGTTTTTCTGTGTCTTTCTGTTACTGTTATTTGTTCTTTGTTAACCTCAGGCTCAAATGATATTTTTGTGTAAACTTGAAAATTTTCTTATTCTGAATTTGGCTTTGGTTTTGCCAGTGCAAAAAAAAAAGAAAAAGAAACCCAAATGTCAGCAACAAATGCATAAAGTCTTGGCTGCTCGTCATGAGCATTGAAAAAGTACAACCATGAAATCTATGCAGGCGGTTGGAGAAGGTCTCCCCCCCCCCCCCCCTCCCAGATTTTTCCCCCCATTGTCTTGCTTATTTCCAAAACTGAAAGACTGTTTTATTACATCACAGTGGTTCTATTTACTCAATTCCTGATTTGTTAGAAATTTGCATCATAAAAATATTTTTGCTATGAATACTGAACTGTTGTAACTGTGGTTGCAGTCTATACTTACAGTGGAAACCTGATAAAAAAGGGATGGTGGGACCAGAGAAAAAGTCCTGTTATATCAGACCCTTGTTAAATCAGAAATGCAAGGGAAGTAAGCATTTGTGGACTAATCAAGCTGTATTTACTATTTATTCATGGGTAGTATCCTTTGCCACAAGTACCCATAAACAGGGGTTTTGGCCATGTGGCAGGCCTGCGCATGACACATAACGCGTGCGTGTAGCTAGGCCTAGGGCTAGATTGAAGTCTGCAGCATACCGCAGCCCTCTCTCGCTTCACCCGCTGTGTGTGCTTGCAGTGGCCTGGCTTGTGTGGGCTTGCTCCATCACTGCCTTTCTCTCTCTCTCTCTCTCTCTCTCTCTCTCTTTCTCTCCCTCTCCCTCTCCCCCTCTCTCTCTCTCTCTCTTACTTTTTACACATTGTTAACGAGCCTTTGTCCCTGCTATAACCATTTGGGCTCTGATGAAGCCCTGTTATTGCCGATAACTTTTAATAGAGTAAGAAAAAATGTGGATTTTAAAAATTCCTTTTGTTACCGGATCCCTGTTCTTACCGGGCCTGTTATATATGGTTTCCACTGAATGTTTCTCATATATTTCTCTTTCTAGGGAAACTTCGATCACTTGGAGTCTCCAATTATTTGCAACATCATTTGGAAGAACTGTTGGAGTATTGCACTGTGAAACCATCTGTCCTTCAAGTGAGACTGCCCATTGAACTGATTGAGAAGTCCTTGAGTTTTAAAACTACAGTCGAACCTGCCTTAACGGAAACCTGTATAAAACGGAAACCTGTCTTAACGGAATCTCCCCGCTCCCCCCTTGATATATTCCTCTTTAATTATCTGTATAAAACAGAAACCTGTCCAACGCTGAAACGGAAAGAAAAATCCGCTCCCTTCTGAGGGTTTCACATGTCTAAGACGGAAAATGCTTTGGCCGCTCAGCCCTGAGTTGAAACCAAGGAGATTAAAAATAAATTCTAAACTCCTTGGTTGAAACAAAACTCGCAAGTTTAGTTCCACTGGCTGTAAACTTAACGCAATGGCCATGCCGCTGGGCGAGGAAGGGGAGTAGGGGTGCAATTCGGGGGTAGATGTTACACCATCATGTGAGCCCTGAGTGATGCAGATGGTCAGTGTAGTGTGGGTGTGAAATTTCACGACTGACCGTGAGAGTTCTCGAGTAGCGAGCCACTACGGAAACTTTCCTGGGTAGCCAGAAGCCAGAGGTGTGAAATTAGATTGACCAATGCCAGCCGAGGAAAGAGTTCCTCGAATCGTTGTTACAGTGATGGCAGTGAGGGGTGGTCCTGGTGGGTGGGGCTAAGGGTGGAAGCAAAGGAAATGGTCAAACGTTTCTGTTTTTAATAGGTCAAACAATGGTCCTATGAAAGGCAAGCACTGGTGGTAATTGGATAAGTAAGACTGACGCATGTCATTATCAGACAGGATAGCAGTTAAGAGGTGTGAAGTTTTGACCACTGCTTGCCGATCGGACAAGCGATCCTTGATCCCACCGGCTGGGCCTTTGAACCCCCCCCCCCCCCCCTAAATTCCCCTTTCTAAGACGGAATTTTTTCCCCGCTCCCTTGCGATTCCGTCTTACGCAGGTTCGACTGTATTGACTACGGTGAAATATAGTAACCAATATATTGTAGTGTATTCTTACTTTTTTTATTTTTGTCTTGGCTCAGTTTACATGTTAGGAAACTGTTGCAAAGAGCATCCTTTCATATGATGAATTTGAAATCCTTGCCTCTCTCTCAAATGCAGGACAAGTACTACCCTTTTCAAGGGATGAAGATCTGATTTTTCCTGTCTTTTGTGTCAGGAAACTTTTTTTCCCCCTTTTTTCGCTACCTGGGGGGGTTTTTTTTTTTTTTGTTTGTTTAAAGAAGAAGAGTTCCTTCAAAAAGCAGGACACTACTTCCTGACAGTATTTTACTTTCTTCTAGGGTGTAATTTTTTGGCAGTTTACAAGTTCATGAACTGGGCTGAAAGTACTATTATTAGTATTAAGGCCTCGATTACGCTCGAAGGATGTGTAGTTACTCTATTCAACACTTTCTTATCAGTTTTGCCATTTGTACTGTATATATGAATGCCTAGTTTCCTCTATCTTTTGGTGCTGATAATAGGAGGTAAAATAAATTTCTGTCAATGATATCCAGAATGTTATCAGGAAAGAAAAGAAACATGTTTTACTTTAGCCTGCTATTTATTTGTTATTGTTTCAGATTGAGTATCATCCTCATCTTGTACAGAAAAGTTTGAAAAAGTTTTGTGATGACCACAGCATTCATTTGCAAGCATATTCCTCTCTTGGAACATCTGCTTCTGAAAACAAGGTAACATTGAGATTGTTTTTTTCTTTTGCAATGATTCATTTATTCATATCAATGATAGTACATAACAAGATGGGCGACTTCTCTCTTTGAGCCAATGAAAAAAGTGTCCTCAAAATTTGGTGGCGCCCTCTTTGTGAACAGAGTTACCCTACTTGAGTTTTAAAAAATCAAAGTGAAACTAGCAAGTTTTGGGATAAATTTCGGAAGAACGCTTTTTTTAAATGGTTACGCTGACAAAAAACCTCTTCCGGAGGAAAGGGTGATGGTTTTCTTCGTTTAATTTGACTTTAGAATGAAAGGCGAGAGGTCATTAAAATTTTTAAAAACCTAAAACTTAGTAAAACTCCGCACTGAACGTACCCGAACTGCTGATGAACAGCAGTCGATCTGCGCACGCAAGGAGGTGCCATTCCTATTCTTCTTCTGGAAAAACGAAAGAGAGCTTCAAAACAGAAGCGCCATCTGAAGCAAAGAGCATACTTCCAACGTACACTTTTTTGGCTGAGTGGCCCATCTTGTTATTTACTATCTTTGTTCATATCCAAAGTAATGAAACTGGCTCTGCACCTCAGCATTTTGCAGCCAGTCTATGGAAATTTTGATTGATGAAATGTAACTATAGCCATGTTTATTGCCACATTAGACATTTCATACATATTTCTTGGGGGGGGTGGTGTTCTGTTTCTGTTGTAATGGGCCAGAGACCAGGAATACATATGATTATGGGTACTGCTAAATGAACAAACTTTTTTGCTATATAATAGATAGCACGATGGGCAAAAAGCTGTGATTTAGTCAAGTGATGGTTTCTCAGCTTCCAGGCTTTTTCAAAAACCATATTTGAATGTACTTTTTTTTTTTCTTTCTCCATTTAGCTTATTTCAGATCCTGTTGTTGTGGATATTGCTATGAAGTGTGAAAAATCTCCGGCTCAAATTCTTCTGAGATGGGCTGTTCAGCAAGACATAGGTAAAATCCTGTTCAGCTTATTTATAATGTAAATATCCTGCAGCTTTTTCCAATGTAGCATTTATGTCATAAAAATGTTTCAATCAGTGAATCACAGTAGGTGACTCGGAGAGCTATAAAGAATTCCAAGAGCAACTTCGTTTACACTTTGCTTCTGTAAATGTTTTCATACGTTAATATTATTTTATATGATTTTGTAATATATTTTTTTGTGTGCAATCTCTTGTACCAACGGTCACTTTTTACTTTCTCCTTTATGTTTTTTTCTAAATCATAATGACAGTGGGTGGCTCTTTTGGACAATTTTGACTGTACAAGTGAACCTACTCCTGCTCTAACTACCACCTGTTCAAGACAAGTAGATGAGTGGTTGTCTTGTACAGGACAGGCTCGCATGTATATATATGTGTGTGTGTGTCACGATACAGTGGAATCAGGCGCTTGTCAATTTTTGGGTATATAGAATTATTGGTATAATCTTAACCGTTTCGCACTTACAGCGCCCGTATGCGCCCGCGCCGGTGACCCCCGCTCATCCCTATAGCGCCCAAATGCGCCCGCCACGGGGGTGTTTGTTTCATTGCCGCGGGAGGCTTCTACTTTTTCTATCATCAGAAGTTTCACTTAGCTATCTTTATAGAGGAAGAGTTCCGGTTTACTATAGTGTTTTTCTTGTTTTGCTAGCACAAAGAGGCACTTTTTGAGCGGGAACAAAAGTCGGAGGAGATTTTAGTTGTAAACACGCCATCATGTCTGTAGGATGCATGGTCACAAAGCTGCCCGATATGAGTACGGCAGAAACAAAATAAAAACACTCAAAGAAAAGTCTTTCAGGTGCTTTCAAGTTTCCACCAGAGGCTTCAATCTCTGTGAATGTGTTGTATTTCTTTTGTGTGGATTACCTCTTTGTCAGTAGCAGAAACTTCGTGAGTTGAAGAAATGTATACAAGAATCCAAGACACGCATCTCAGAAAGACCTCTCATATCATTTCATACTCTTCTATTCCACTTATAATTTTGTACTAGTAATTTAGCTCATTCATTTTCCTTTCAGAGAATACTATTTTCATCATTTTTGGTTGTGTTTGTGATTTTATACAATTTTTTTAGTAAGGTACCCCTTCAATTTTCGTGGAGTTATTGTCCTTGTCTTAAGGATGGGGGGCCACAGCTGGCCAAGCCTGCTAAGTGCGAAAGGGTTAAATTCTGTTCATTTGCCTTTCTTTTGATGAAAAAAATACCCATCTGTCTTGAACAGAAGTGGAGATATTTGCTATTGAAGGAGGTGAAGGTCACCTTGTATCAGAGATAAAGTTAATGAAAAGATGGCCTCCAAAGTTTGGTGATATCCATAGCTTGAAGGTCCTTTGAAGCTACAAATCTATATTTTACTGTGCTTTTGATCAAAGTTTTTTCTGTAAATCCACACAGAAATGTGTTTATAGAGGGACATAAAAAGGAAATCGATAAAAATTGCCCAACGAGCAAAAAAATGTCAATGTAGAGAATTAGACATTTGACTATGCAAATGTATTTTTTTACTCGGCTGCAGGGAGCGACACATTCATCACAGTATGAAAGTAGGTAGTATTGATGCGTTTGCCTGATTTTTTTCAACTATCGTTCTGTTGAGGTACATATATTTCGTATGTTTATGAAAATGTTTAATGTGTCCTGCGCGCTCATATGACCTTATGCAGTTGCAAGCGCCGTAAAACTCTTACAAAAAAAAGCCAAACAACCCAGGTTTGTTTAACATTGTCCCATTCTTTCCACTTCTTTTCCCTCTGAATCTGAATATATATATTTTCTTATGTCCCCAGGTGTTTTGCCGAAGTCCACAAATCCTGCACACATAGTAGAGAACATGGATATATTTTCTTTCTCCTTGTCCACTGAGCAGCTTCAGGCCTTGTCCAATTTGGATCAACAAATGCACTATTGTTGGGACCCTGTCCATATTGCTTGAGGATACAGTTCGCCCTGTTCTGACAAGTTCAGTTTTGACTGTAAAATCCATGTCATACCTCGTGGCTCATTATGCCATAAAAAAGGGAAAGAAACAAAAAGTGACAATAGATAGAGAAGATTATACAGTGACAATGCTGGTCATAACCTTGCTATTATTGAAGATTTTGACTGGATACAATGCTGGGTATATGAAAGGACACAGGGCTGAGAGGAAATATTCCAGGAAGAAAAAAACCAAACTATTCAGATTCTACTTGGATTTGAATCTTGAAGTTTTCACTTGGCAGAGCAAGTTTGTAACCTTTGAAGACACCATAATCAGTAAATCCTAACCAAAGAAAGGTAGGTATGACTCATGACGGACTCTTCATACCAACAGTGCTCTATAGAGATGGACGGTCACACTATACTTTTTTTTTTTTAAGTAGAGGTTTTACGGCGCTCGCAGCTGCATAACGTGATATGAATGCCAAGCACTATACTTTGTGAGCTAGTATAAAGGCATACTCTTATCTATCTACTCCAAATTACTCTGGTAATTCTAGTATTTATTTTTTGCGAAAAAAAAATACACAAAGTATTCTTAGGGGACATAGATAATTTTTTGCTTGTCCCAGTGCTGGCAGTATTAGCAGTCATCTAACATGAGATCCGTCTGTATGGTCGTAGTACTCGCAGTGGTCTGAACAATGAAGAGTATTCTGACACAAGGACATTTATTAAGACATTGATTTAAGCAAGAAGTATCATGAGGTGACACTGCAGTACCTACTTGAGAAATGTTTTAGCTCAAAGAGCACGGCATTGTGGCACACAAAAAGGGCATTTGAAAATGTTTGCACCAAATGTTTTTCATGTCTTCTTCTGTACCATTATTTACATGTATGTTAAGTACACCGCTGTGACTGTATGACAAATAAAGGGATTTTACTGCAGTCTGGAAGTGTTTTCTCGTAGTGCATGTTATAAAGTTATTTGTTATTTGTTATTGACCTTTGCCATTCCTAGTGTCCCAGTCTCACTATACCAATGAGGAAGGGGCTTTCCAGTAAAAAACCATTTTGAAAGGTTTCAATTCAGCTTTGATTTCCCCTTCTCCCTTTCTTTCTTTTATCATAAAACATTTTCCTTGGGTTATTTTTGTAAGATGACTCTGGACCCTGGATGTCTATCAGTGTAGCTACTGATTTTTAACGGGAGGAGCAACCCCTGAGGATCATTTTCTATGTTTGTTGCCCGAGATCAAATCTAAGCACACATATAAGTTAGGCATAGGAAAATCTCTTGAAACGCAATTTTATTTTGGTACATCTACAGTGATTGCTATGGAAATGGCCGCCATCTTGAAAATAAACAATGAATTTCAAATCCCTAAGGCTTTCATATTTACTGACCAAATATGGTGAGAGTATACCTGAATCAGACACTATCAGCGTAACAGTGAGTTTTTTTCAATTAGTGCAAAAGAAAGAAAAAAAGAGAATTTTCCCTCTATGCGTGAAAAACCTTTTCTAAAAAAGTAAATTTAGGTTGCGTAATCGCTTGCCAATGGAAAAGTGCTATTTTTTTCGTAAATATCTCCCCGTTACATTGATGGCAGCCATCAATGTTTCCAGAACGTTCCATGTGAAAAGGATGATAACTAAGGAAGGAGTAGGGAAAAACTGCCAGAAAATGACATTTTGAGAAAAACAATTGAGAAAATTCACTATGTGTGTGCGCCTAGAGAAAGGTACCAAAAGTCGCCCCAGAATGTTTCAAGCGACAGGCTGATAATTACAAAAATCACTTTTTTGACCAAAATGTGTTTCCATGAAAAAAAAAGATAGATCCGCCATATTTTTACCATGTGCTCAAAGGGTTTTCATTGATTTGACTTCTAAATATTTTATTTTGAATTATTTTGAGGGTAGGGGGTACAAAAACAAATAATGAAAACTGCTTTTGAAAGGTGTTAAATCTACTCTTGAAGCACATTTTCTCTTCCCTGCTATGTTTTACCATTGAATTCCATTCAGGATATTGATGTCAACTGAATGCCAAATTGGAAATGAATTTTCCATGAATAAATATACATTTAAAAAATCGTTTTTCTTAAGTTTGTATGTGTTCTCACGTTTGTTAAACTAAAAAGCTCATTTTCTCAAAATTATATTTTATACCCTACCTTGCAAAATATGCATCTCAAAAACTACTTGAGATATATCTAAAAAATTCAAAGACCCCTGTGTTCAGCATTGCATTTCCTATAATGTACAACCATTAAGTCAACATTGTCAAAATCTGACTTTTGGTAGGCTACCTTTCTTTAGGCACACACACATATTTTAACCCACTCTCATGTTTTCAAAAGCAGTTTACGAAGAGAATAAAGACTCTCAATTGTCTCCTTGCTATTTTTAGACAAAGAACAGGTTGATCTTCAAAAATCAGCCAACATCTCAGTTTGCATAGCTTGTCCCAAAATTGACCAAACTTAAGTTTTTATTGTAAATACTTTTATGCCTCACGTCATAAGCAAATAATACAGTGGAACTTGGATTCTACGAATTTGGCCCCGTTTTTTTAATCCATAAAAATCAATAAAAATAACTCAGATTCAAAGAACACATAACGATCTTACCTACCCTATGATCAGGGATGAGACTGAAAGACAGCAGTAAGATTAGTAAGCGAGAGTCAGGAGCAAGGGAGAGGAGAGGGGGCTGGGTGGAGTAACAGGATGGAGAACAGGACAGGACTAGAGAAGGGAAAAGAGGACAGAACATTTTAGAGAAGAAAATGTTTCCTTTGCTATCAGGTTTCGAATCCCGGACCTTTCAACTAGGAGGCAAACACCTTACCTCTTGACCATGAGAACCCCCTGCAAACTTTGCTCAATCTAAAGATTTTAACACACAAGGCACTCTGGGTAGAAGAAGTGGAAAAATTAACACATAATACCAAGATAAACTTTCTTTTATAAATTATTTATTTTTTTAATTCTGTTTTCTTACAACCACACTAGGGTTTGTTGTAAAATAATATTGGCAAACAAGGTTGAATGCAGCATATGACCACAAGAATTGGAAATGTCCACAGCGGAATAAAAAAAAAAGACAAACAAAATTAACAGGAACAAAACAAATAAAGCAGGGTGTCTGGCACATATCATGCACTTATGAAATGTCACATGAATCATAACTTAGGAAGCATGCCCACTGCACAGGGATAAGTATGATAACTGAATTTTTCAGATGCTTCAAGGAAATGGGTATGCTGAAATCTGCAGAGATCTCCACTGGACATTTATAAGACAAGGGACAGGTGGTGAATACAGTCATTCACTGAATCAGAATATTGTGAAGTTAGACATTACAACTGTTATTTGTAAAAGTTCCTTATATTCACCTTTAATGAATAACAAATTAATTGAAGAGCAAAAAAAACAACTGATAATACGAAAAGATGACATATGTCATGACACGGTGGAATCAGGTGCTCGTCAATTTATGGGCATATAGAGTATTGGTATCATTTTAAAGCTTGTTCATTTGTCTTGTGTTCTGTTAAAAAAACACTCATCTATCATGAATACACATCGAAATATTTGCGATTGAAAGAGGTGGGGCGTTGCCTGGTTTCAGGGGTAAAATAAGCGGGAAAATGGCCGCCAAAGTTTGTCGACTTCCAAAGCTTGAGAGTCCTTGAAAACTGCAAATTTACATTTGTGTGCCTTAAATCGATATATTTCAGTAAAATCCACACAGAAATATGTTTTTAAATAAAAATCCACACAGAAATATGTTTTTAAACTGGCCTTAAAGGTGTTGAGTCTAAAAACAAAAATTTCATTAAAATTGCCAAACGGACAGGAAAATGCCAGTTTCTTCGATTTCATTATTTTGATGAGCACCTGATTTCACCACGATGCCTCGCAAATATTGTATCCTTGCCACAATGATTACACATTATATTTTGTCCAGATTCTGAGTACAAATTCAACTACAGCCCCTTCTCAGTTACAAGGCATCTTGTCAGAGAGGTCCCAGAATTTTCACATTATTTTCAAAGGTGGAACTTCACTTAGCTCAAGAGGATTTGTTGCATAAATTAGTATTAGTATGCCACTAAAAGTTAAGTACGATAAAAACATATCTTATTGTATTGATTAAACAAACAGGGATTTTCTACAGTTGATAAATGCCTGTAGCCAACAGAAGCAACCAGACATTTCCCCAATGGGATATGCTAATTCAAAGCAGGGTCTGGGCATAGTTGCTTCATGCAAACTCAGTGAAAGGGCACCAATTCAGTTTAAAAGGAATGTAAATTTTAAAAAATTGGTCACACTGAGCTCTGATTAACCTTTTCTTTAGCAGCATGATCAGAGCTGTGAAAAGGATTCCAAAAAAACTTGGCTAACAAGCGCAGAAAAAGTTAAATCCACAAAAATTTAGCTTGTAAATTATGAGACAGAAAATTTCACATCTGAGATTAGTTTTTTGGAAAAGCATCACAATAAGCCAAACCAGGAAAGTTAATCATACACATACAGTCCTCAAGTTTTAACACTGATTTTAACACGCATTGCTAAAGCTGGCCAATACAACCTCCACCTTCCTTTCAAATCTTTTGTTAATGGGATGGAATAGACTGGGTCATTTGAGAAAAGGTAGTCTATTTTAATCAATGATGTGAACACAAGTAAAGGCAGCTGTCTTGTGAGACACAAGCAAGACAATCCAAACTGGAAGACCAAAAACATAAATTTGTGTTGATGGCAATCAAAAGGCAAAACAGGGATATCAAAATATAATCTACCAAGGGTAGTATTAGGGTGCAGTATGCGGAAAAAACAACATGAACAAATGAACAGAATCCTAAAAGTGGGTGGGTGATAGTAATAACTTCATTTGAAAGCCAATTGCTGTGGACATTAATGGGTGTTGTAACATTTCATTTTTATCAACACATCCCAGGACAAAAACTGCAAACCTAACGAGATCACTCAAACTAAAACTTAGAGGATACCAAAGCTAGGCATGCACACACTTCTTACAGAACCAGAAATTACAGTTATAAGAAAAACATAATAATAATAACAACAATCTCAATTGCACACAATTCCATTAAATGTTGGATAATATTCTTTGACATTTAAGTGGTTATGTCTTTCAAAATCTCCCTGTAGGTATATAGAAATGAAGGGTTGGCCATGGTTTCGAATCAACCAACAAGAACATACAATTTGCAGTACTGGTATACCAACTACTTAGCACACAGGCATATCGATGCGTTAAGATAACAAATCAATCTAAAATCACGCAGCTCTTTAATAATTCTTGGGGGCAATTCACTCACAACCCATGGGCAATTCATTTTATGTACATGTAAGGAATTTCACTCTCAATTTGAGACCTTTGTTCACTAGTTCTGCCACAGTATACTCACTCATACTTTTACATCAGTGCAACAAATATGTGGATGACCCTGTATGGAGGACCAACCAATGTATAAAATGTCACTGGGCCACAGTGAGAGAGAGAGAGAACCCAGAGGTATATCACGGGGGTGTCTGGGACATGCTGTGATCAGACAGTGCCATTCCCAGAGGCAACTCGAAATGTGATCAGAGAAAGCCAGGAATTTTGTCCAGAAAAGGAAAAGAGCAGTAAACAAATAAACCAACATACCGTACACTAATGAATCCCACAAAAACCCACATGAAAACCCTGTCAACTCAAACCTCAAACAAACAGGTACAAGAACACAATGTCTGTGGAAAGAGCTAATTTCTTGCACACTTTTTATACACGACAATACCCACTACCTTGTATCATTGTGCCGATTCAACTTTTTGGCTCGATAGCAATTTTAAAAATTCAAGGCACCACCTTTGAAGTTATTCCAAAGCACAAACTCTTAAGACAAGGCATATTCATCATTCACACCCACATCTCATTGGCATAATCCTACTAGCTATAAAGTTTTCATCTCTTCAGGGGGGTTTCAACTCATAAACTTTCATCAGACTGCAGGCAAACTTTTTCAGAAAGAACACATGTAGTGGTACATTCTTCACTTCAAGCAGAACACAATGGGAAGTCGACATTTCCCAACGGCTCAAATATACTGCCACACCAAAAAAAAAAAAATGAGAAGAAACCAAACAATTGTCAATCAACAGACAAACAGACAACAACCTTACTTCCAACAACACAGCAAAATGCACAGATACAACAGACCTAATTCAAAACATCTGTAAATAACTTCAGGGTACTAACCAAACGAAAATTAGTAAGACTGGGTTAATCCATCTTTGCAAATGACTAAAAGTAGCCATCAAAACCCCAAAAGCATACAACGTAACTATTTCTTATGCCATTCAGAAACCAAAAGACGCAGATCTGGATTTTAGATTTCTCTTTTAAAGCTAAATCAATGAATGGGCCAAGGTCAAAAGATTATAAAAAGAGAGAGGTGCAAACCCCCATCCCTCTCAGTCACAAAAATATAGTTACAGCTGAACAGATGAACTATTGGGAATTAAGTTAACAGAGCCTTACAAAACAGCAGCAACTTATTTCATGTAAGTTAGAGATTCTTTATCTTTATCTTTCACTAACATCAAAAACTTATTTCCACTCTTACAACAAAAGATAAAGAATGACAAAATGATTTTTTAAAAACAGGACGTTCTCATATTAGTGCTAGGTTGCAAATGCTAGTACCACAGTCAAACAGGCAATCTCCTTAACTCATTGGCTTTGCCACAAACTTTATATAGCACGCTGGAATTTAACCGAGTTCCGAGAAAAAACAAAAAAATATAACACCAATAAACCACACGATAGAAGCATAAATCATCTCCTATAGAAGTGACAATGGGACTCAGTCAAAGTGTTCCGAGTATTCCATTCCTGCAAACATACACTCTTGACAGACCCTTCTTTCATGGTAACATCTTTGTACATATTTTCTATAAATTTGTGCCAAAAAACAAATTAGCAAAAAGCCACTTGCGGCCCTTAGTATGCACAAAATAGTACCACTACATATTTGTTCCTTGCAACTATTACCCCTGTGATATTCC